ATTTTGCTTAATGTTTCCTCTCGTGCAGCTAATGAGCACATTATTTCAATGATTGCATATTTTTTTGAACGAGTTGCATATTTTTTCACAATGTCCTAAAACGGCTCTTCCTCTTTCAGATCTCAAGACTTTCCAGGTTCATGCATCATATGTTGAATAATTCTCCATTTCTGTCATAGATACTCACAGGGGTGAAATGCCATTAAGTACATTTACTGAAGTACAATTTTCAATTTAATTCAATAAAATGTTATTTATATAGTGCTAATTCATAACAGAAGTTATCTCATTGATTTTTTCATATAGAGCAAAGACCGTTTTCTTTGTAATTTTAATAACAGAGACCCAACAAGTCCCACCATAAGCAAGCACTTGGCGACAAAGGCAAGAAAAAACTCCCTTTTAGCATGTAGAAACTTTGAGCAGAACCATGACTCATGATGGGCGGCTGTCAGCCCTGACCAGTTGGTTTACTACACTACATTTGTCTGAAAATTATAGTTACTAGTTACGTTGCAGATTGCGGTTTTACATACATGATCAACTTATAAAGTATGATACAGTGTATAGTGTAGTGCAAACGTGTTCCAACTCAACCAGCTGTGATATTAAAATACTATCAATGCATCAGTATTTATATTTAAATAATAGGATAAATAAAACAATATATGCTCTCAGAGGGGCTACTCTGCTTAACGAGTACTTGTACTTTGATATTTTGAGTACATTTAGCTGATAATAATTTTGTTCTTATACTAAGTAAAATTTTTAATGTAAGACAGTGTATTTTTGCAAAGTGAGATGGGGACCTTTACTTAAATAAAAAATATGAATACTTCTTCCACCAGTGCAATTACAGCAGGGCAAGTTTAGTATAGGTATATCTCATTGTGATGAGACATTATCAGTTAAACCTTTCAATTCAATTCAATTCAATTTTATTTATACAGCGCCAAATCACAACAACAGTTATCTCACAGCGCTTTTCATAAAAGAGCAGGTCTAGACCGTACTCTGTGATGTTATTTACAGAAGCCCAACAGTTCCCACCAAGAGCAAGCACTAGGCGACAGAGGCAAGGAAAAACTTCCTTTTAAGAGGCAGAAACCTCGAGCAGAACCATGGCTCAGGGTGGGCGGCCATCTGCCTCGACCGGTTGGGGTGAGAGAGAGAGAGAGAGAGAGAGATGTGAGAGAGAGAGAGAGAGAGAGAGAGGAGGGAGGCAGCCTACACAATATACACACAGAGGTACAGACAGTGAAGGTAATGTTGCTATAGACTAAATGAAAAATGGTACAGATATTTATAATAGTGTTAATGGTAACCATCGTAATGTTAATGATTATAATAACAATAATAACAATAGGACTAGTAACAATAGTTGTTGCAGTAGAGGGTGTCGAGCAGGAACACAGGGGCAGCAGGTGACCTGCAGCCACAGATCCAGACTCCACAGCTCCAGAGCCAGAAAACCTGCAGGAAGTGATAGGAGAGAGGAGAGAGACGAGAAAGCACAAGACTACCAGAAAGGGGAGAAGTTGTGTTAGTAACATGCAATAACGGGATGAGGTTGCATACAGAGGGAGAGAAAGTAGAGGAGAGAGGAGCTCAGTGCATCATGGGAAATCCCCCGGTAGTCTAGGCCTATAGCAGCATAACTAAGGGATGGTTCAGGACTACCTGAGCCAGCCCTAACTATAAGCTTTATCAAAGAGGAAAGTCTTAAGCCTACTCTTAAATGTGGAGATGGTGTCTCCTGAACCCAAACTGGAACCTGGTTCCACAGGAGAGGAGCTTGATAGCTGAACACCTTGTCACCTGTTCTGTTTAAAAAATTGTGCATCATCATAAAACGTCAATATGAGCTATAAATTGCAAAGACGAATAATAATTTTAAATATCAGTGCCAAATAATTAAATGAAGAACTATTTAGATTATAAATACTCTCAGTGAGGCAAGGAGATGTGGACCAATTGTGAGCACACTATTTAATCCTGAGTAATTACTTTTAAATTCCAATCAACTAGCTGATTGAATTCCAAATTAGGTATTGCCTATATATGGTCAATGTTTCATTTTCATTGTAATCAGCCTATAACACTGCACAGAGTAAAGGGGTGTGTGTGTGTGTAGCGTACGTGTAGCTGAATCACACAGGGCTGGTGAATTTCACAACCTCTGGAGAATGAAGCTTTGTCAAATACAATACTGAGAGAAAGAGACAGAGGTTGACTGACGTAAGATAACAAAAATAAGCTCCCCCTGGACCAGCTGCAACATTAAATGCTGCTTACATGTTGGATTACCAACCGGGCTGAGCGGGCAACTACCAAGGCACCCCAAAAGTCTCATATTCTCTGTGTTTGGTTAAGGTAATTTAATTAATTACAGCTGAGCAACCTGGGCCTAGGCAGTTCACATGGATACTGACAGACTTCATTCTTGATTCTATTATTTGACAATATCTGATTGTATATAATTGTTATCGTATATTAATTGTTTATAGTGTGTAAATACATTTACATATTTAGCTGATGCTATTATCCCTGGAGTAATTGGGGGTTAAGTGTCTTGCTCAGGGACACATTGGTGGATGGGTCACAGAGAGGATTGAACGTGGGTCTCTCTCGCGCCATCACCACCACCATTATATGTTTATACATCTACGTAGAATGTGACTGGGTCTACTTTTGTTGTATCTGTTCTTTTATATTTCTCTGTGCTGCTGTGCCAACCTGGATTTCGCCTACGGGGGATTAATTAAGGTATATTTTTATCTTGTCTTATCTTATCTTACTGGACTTCCTGAGCAACAGACCCCAGAACATCAGGGTTGGGGATAGGTCAGGAGATCACACATCATCCTGAACATTAGCACACCACATGGGTGTATCCTCAGCCCCCTCCTCTACTCCCTCTTTACCCATGACTACTGATGATACCACCATAATAGGACTAATAAGGGACAATAATGCGAGACAGGGCTCCTCCCTGTCTCGCATTATTGTCCGTTATTAGTTCAGCATCTGACAGAATAGTATTCTTACAATAATCTTAAACATCACAAATATCAAAGAAATGATTGTGGATTACATGATGTCTAAGTGCACTAAGCACTCTGCCCTCTGCATACATGGGGAGGAAGTAGACAGAGCAGAGGTGTGCACATCTCATTTGACCTCACCTAGTATACACACATCTCCCATCAGTTGGGGAATGCCCAGCAGAGGCTTTATTTCCTCAGGAAGCTGAAGCACGCTCACCTCCCTTATCACCTGCTAATTAACTTTTATCGGTCATCAGTGGAGAGCCTCCCGACCTACTGCTGCACGAGGTTGCACAGAAGAGAACAGGAAGGGCCTGTAGCGTGTCATCAGGACAACACCCCTCCCCCTTAGAGACATTTACATTAATTCAAAAAGAAGGCCAACTGTATTGCAAAAGACCCCACTCACCTTGGACATAATCTGTTCTGCCCCCTGCCCTTTGGGAAAAGATACAGATCAATCAGAACCAGAACTAACAGACTGAAAAACAGCTTCTTCCCACAGGCAGTAAAATGCACACACCCTCCCAATCCCCTATAAGGGCAATAATCCCCTACCCCAAGACCTGGAAGTGCAATAACTCCCCACCTGCCCCTTCCCCCTTTAACGTAACGAAACTTGGCGAAATGGTACATTGCTCCGAGATTGTGCAATAGAAATTATTAACAAAATGTATGAGAAAAAAAACAAGTTATTTTAAAATATATATTTAGAAGAATAAATATGAATGTTTAAACAGTGTAAAATAGTTTAACAGTGTTAAATTAAAATAAATAAAGTTAAAGAAGCAAAAAATAAACAAGAACAAAGACGACATGATAATCCACCCATTAAGCTATTTGAGAAAAAATTAAAATATTTCCTTATAAAATGTAATGGAAATTAAATAAAGCAGTATGTGTGTTAAAACAACTGGACACACTCCAGTGGTGAAATAAATAAAGGATAAGTAAAAGTACGATACAACCATGTAACAGTACTTAGAAGTAAAGGTCTTCCATTAATTATATTACTTACAATACACGTATCATCAAAAAAAATCAATTTAAAGTAGGCCTATACAGTGGGAGAAGTAGCCTACTCAGATCCTTTAGGCTACTTAAGTAAAAGTAGTTACCAATACAACCATGTAAAAATACTCACAAGTAAAGATCTTCCATTCACAATTTTACTTACAATATCATCAATAAAATCTACTTAAAGCATCAAAAGGCATACGCAGTTTAGTCCAGTGGTTCCCAACTTAGGGGTCAGGGCCATCCCAAGGGTCACAAGATAAATTTGAGGGGTTGTGAGATGATTAATGGGAAAGGAAAGAAGAAAAAAACAATCTTGTATTTTTTTTTCTTTTTACTTTTCTCTCCTTTTTTACTGGGTGCTTTGTGTTGGTGAAATATTGACTGGCTACTTTTACCTCTTTGAGCTGTGAACAATTAGACTAATTAAATTAAACCGTCTTATGAGTAGTTGCAGAACTAGTTGGTTGTAGGAAATGTCTGATAGACATCTGAAACAGGACACTGGGCCCCATCAGCTACTTTTGTTGTTGTTGTTGTTGTTGTTGTTGTAGGTAGTTTAGTTTAATCTTTACCAAAGTAGTCTAAATGTACTTTGATACTTTAAAACTTTAAACGACAGTTAAAATATCCATCCACCTCTGTCTTATCAGGGATAAACTAGCATTTACAGCACAAATCCAAGATGTCCGTGTGTTTATGGAAGCGGTTTTCAAGACGTTAAAGAAAGAACGTTAACCGTTAGAAGTTCTAACTGTTACTAACTGATGTGTGAAGTGAACTACATCTGTTTTGGCATGACAAATAAGTTAGTTACTTGTAGAACCAGCCTAAAAATGTACTATTAGATGTCAAGTGAGAGTTGGTTTGTGACAGCCGCTGCGCCGCTCACTGTCACCGGGGAGGGGGCGGGATGGACCAAAGGGAGGAGTGACTTTTCAAAAATAGTACGCTTCAGCACAGCAGCGAACCGGTACAGCCGCGGCGGCGGGCGGGTACGGAGAGTTCGAAACATGGTTCGCTACGGAAATAAATAACTGGACCGGGAGACGATATTATTTAAACCAAAGAGGAGGCTTCAAAACACGACGAAAAGTAGAAGCGGGTATTTCCAGGTAGAAGAAAACTGGGTTGCAGCTAGCTGAAGTCAGTGCCACACGTTTCAGTGTTGATGTTGGTATTTGGCCACGAATAACGTTAACGTTACCTGCCGAAAATAGTCACGGTGAGTAGACCCCGTCTCACATACTTCTGGTAAGGTACGTAGCATGGTCACAAACACAAACGTCGTAAGGTTTAGTTGATGTAAGTCTGATTTTAAGTGTAAAATTTTATACGAGATTGGAGAGGGTGAGTTCAGGAACACATTCATTCGGGGGAACAAGGTGAACAGTGAGTTAAACTTTTCTGCAATATGGCCGCTCAGATGTCACATCTTCCCAGAAGTAGGCAGAACTAAAATGAGCTTTGATTTAACGTTAAGTCTTTGAAATTCGCGAAAGGCTCAAAGTGTCCACTGAAGTCTGTTTAGATATTGTACTTAAAAAAGGTCTAATGTGGTGTCAACTGTTGCAGTATAGTCATGCCTACTTATAAAATCAAAACTACTACTGGTGTTTGACCTGTAACATTACGTGGTGGTGCTGTTCTATGGGAGAAACGTTATTCCATTCAAAAATCTGGCACTTTTACGTTACCTGGCTTTTGGCCAAACACAGGCTTTGTGGAACATAAGTTAAAACGTTTTTGAAATCGTTTGTGTCTTCTTTGAAATTCGGCACACTGTATGTTATTTATTTGATTAAGGCTTAGTGGCGTGCATGCATTTACAATTAAAAATGCATCGAGCTGAATGGAAACAGATGTGAACTAAAGATACTAAGAATGTTATTATAAGGATGCCAGTGTTACAGCTAGTAAATAATTTCATCAGACTGGTTGGGGGGGGGGGCGAAATAGTAATAATAAATCATATGATTTAATGAATCATCAGCAATGCCATGAATCATTGAATCTGACCTGTGGGGTCAACTGAGATGATTTATCACACCACAGCCTGCCAACAGGTGTTGTTGGAGACAGCGGAAGCATTTTTGAGGCTCTAGCAGAATATGACAGCCCCAGCCACTCCCTTACACCCCAAAAATGTCTTATAGAGAGCATATAGAAAGTGCAGATACTAAACAGTGAAATAGCAGGGTAAGCTCTGCCTGGCATCCACTGATGTCTAATCTACTTTGGAAGCAGATTTCAGTAGCAAATTTGAATTCCTGATCCTACAAGCTGTAAATATCTGATGGTGCAGATATATGCATTTCAGGGTGCCTGTACTTTTAAGTGTGTTTACTGCATCAGTGTGACAATACTTCAAAGAGAATCCAGCTGGATTTTTTGTTTATTCACATTTTTTATTAAGATGCCAAATGATATTTGTTTAACATATAAACTGATATATCTGTGATAACCTAATATTGGTTTTGCAACAATAAACCGAACAAACGGATTACATTATATTCTGCTTTCTGTGTCCCAATTAAACATCAAAATATTGTTGATTTCTCAGTTTTAACACTTATAAAGTACCAAGTAAACCATCAACCAAGCAGCAGCTAAAGATCAAACAGTCAAATAAAGGTCAAGTTCATTAACTATCAGTGATATTGTAGGCTGTGACAGAAACATAGGTAGTGTACAAATCCAAATGCTGTACCAAAAATACAATTAGTGTGTTTTTAACTGTGTGTCCTGTCAGGTTGCAGCTTTTTCCAAACTGTTGCTCCCTGTGGAGGAAACTAAATACGGAAAGGGATGACTGAGGAAGAGAGAGACCACAGTAACTGATGGGCTTTGTCCCAAACTGTCCCCTGAGGGTCTTTACTTTTTCCCTGGTGGATGCATGTTGTGGATGTATACTTTAATTGAGCTGTGGGCGATTTAACAGGGCAAAATGAGAGAGCAAAACAAAACTTTACCAACCCACTTTTCCAAGAACCCACCACCCTGCACATGATAACCAGGTATAAAAAATGTTTATGTATATCCCCAATACAAGTTTTTAACAAGCTTAGTATTTACCTACAGAGAAGAAGAGAGAGATTTTAGGTGTTGTTGATTTATGGTAGCGCTGATTGTGTTACTGTCTCCACTGTGGGTGGGGAGATAATAGTGTTGAGGGTGAAACCTATGATTAGAAGAACAATCATTCCTATTCAGCCTCTAGTTTATATAATTTCTCCAGAGTTAAATTATAGTGAAATTTAAGTATTCCTCATTTTGCACGTAGGAGCAGTTGGCCCTCCAGTACTCCTGGAGACCTCAGAGCTCTCTATTCAGTTATTGTTTGATGCCTCTGAGTTAATGTTCACATAGCTTGCCTTGCAGAAATACAAGTGTAATGACAGACTAGTTAACCTTAGACACCAATTTTTGTCACTGATTAATAGTAACTTTATTTAACTGCTTGTTTTGAGTTTCTGTAATGGTTTTTCTAAGGTCATGGATAGCCCTTCAGTCTCTCTTTTCATTGATCTGCTGTAGAGCTTGGTGACTAAATCTATGGGAATCCAGTACAAATACTTGGAACTTTGCTGCTACTTCACAAGTTAAAGTTTTCTTGCTCAAGGGCAAAGAAATGGATAAAAGAGAAATGTTTAGGTCTACAGCTGAGACCCTGATTTAGGATTGTTGTGATGAAGGGTTTAATTGAATTTTGCGGATCATTGCCTTCCAAACCCTAAAATCTTTCATATAAAGTTGCAAGCTTGTTGCACGTATTGTAGAGTATTTCAGATATGTCGCTCTGCAAGTTCAATGTCGAAAAATCAAGTAGATCAACTTTCACTTCCTGTCTCTTTGTTTCTCTTGTACTATCTTCCTGTCTCTTTCACCATACGAATTTCTCACTCTTTACTTCCTGACGACTTCTTAGTATATCTTGATTTCTCCTTCTGTTTCTTCTTCTTTGTGTTTCTCTCTTTCTCTATGCATCACTTTCTCTCTTCATTTAATCCTTTACGACTGCACTGAGGGGTTCAGACCAAAAACAGCACTGTGTTACTGTAAAACAATGCAAGGGTCTGCGTTGGTACGATGATGAGTACATTCCAGGAACGCCAGTTTGAGTAATAAGATCCATGAGTTTACGGGCTTTACAAATACCAAATCCATTCAGAGTTGTTTATGGTATAAGACAGGATTTTACAACTCTTTAAAGTTATCATTGCAGAAATTGTTGTAGCTATTTTGTGACATTGCCAAATAAAGAATAGAAATACTAGTAATCTACCAAGAATGTGTGCTTGCAAGCATTTGATTGGCCAATGCAGCATTGGCCAGATGACAATGCATTGCATTGTGGCAAACGTTGTGGCAGGTTCAACTTTTTTGCCAGATGAACATGAATCTTTTTGCCAAAGCCCTGTGCGTAATTTGGCATAGATACCCACTATAATAACAATTATTAATTTACCATCTAAAAGAATAACCACAGATTGTTTAAAATAAGTGGATTTAGCCACCGTGATCCCATTGAGAACATGAACTCATTAGTAAAGTCTTTACTGAGGTATCAAATCCAGGGAGATGTAGGGTCATTTTATCATAGACTTCTATACATTCAGACTTCTTTTTACAACCAGTAGAGTCGCCCCCTGCTGGCTATTAGAAAGTTTCCAGGTTTAAGGTACTCAAGCATTGGCTTCACTTTTCAGACCCGGTGGTTCCTGCTTGGTCTGAATACCATCTTGGAGAGCTTAAAAACCAACTGGGGTAGTTAAAGTGTTTGGGTATGCCAGAATCACTCAAAATCACCTTGAGACCAGTTCTTGTGGAAAAATCAGGCTTGGTGTCATGTTTTATTAAGAGTCCTTCTTGGGTTTGGGTGGAATAGGAGAAGGTTCTTTAAGGTATTGATACATGTTACACATATAAACACTACAGTAGACTCCCATCATGTCCCCACCTCAGGACAAGCTATAACTTCTGGATCAGTCCTCCAAATACCCATAGCACGCTAGCTGTCCATCTTAAAACATGTAACCAGAGATGTGTTGCTTCTGTTTTTACCTGCTTGGTCACACCCCCGGGGTCATGCCAGGGCAGTCGGGTTGTCTCTTTGGCAGCACAGGGATCAAAGGTCAGGTGAGAGATTAAAGAGGTCTTAGCTTTAGGTTAAATCTGCTTGTAATCGGTGCAGCTGAATTTGTTTCCCGGAAAAATATTTTTAATATCAGTGTGTTTGTTGTTTTTTTGTGTGTTTTTTTTTTTTTTACAGGGCTAAACCAACACACACATCTATTCTTTTTAAATGTGACCCCTTTATGCTAACACATTCAAAGTGATTAGGTTTTTCTACAAAACTGTTGGACTCTTAATCGCACAAAAAAGCTATTTGTTGAAGTTATGTTGATTTTTCACTTTCTCCCCATTTTATAGAAACAGTCTGCTCTTAATCTGCATATTATGAAATTAGTTGTAGCCTCAAGTCTCCATTGATACCCAGAGTACTATTACAGCTACTACAAATACTGCTCTTGAACTAAGACATATTCATGCATTCTTGAAGCAGCATATTGGACTCAATTTGGGTTAGTAAGTCCTCCAATAAGTATCATCAGCTGGATTACATTAACTGGACCAAAACCAATTTTCTTTGAATAGACTGACTGCATTCCCTGTCCTGTAGAAACCTCAGCTAAGAATTTCCATCTTTGTATTTAATACCTAGTGACAGTTTATTTGGTCTTAATTATGCCTAAAATGTTTCAGGACATTTGAGACTTGGGGCAAACCACCAGTAATGCAGTCAACTCTTCAAAATGTCAAAAAGTTTCTCAATTTCCTGAAACCTTTAATTATTTTTTTTCAAAACTAAATTAGAAAGTTGCTGCATAGCTTTCGGAGGGATTTGTGGGTCCGGCCAAAGAGTCTCATCTGGTTCATGTGTTACAGTAAAGAGGTAGTTTAGAGGATAAATGGAGCTCATAGGTATTTCAGCGACGTCAGTGTCTAAAGTTTGCAGGGTACTGTATATATATCATGTACAACACACTGGTCATGTTCTGTCAGAGCAGACTGTGAGAATAGCGAGCAGCTGCAAATGGTAATGTAGTCATGTGGCATGCATGTGTGTGTGCGCAGAGGGTGGTAAACACCCTCTTACCCCTCTTTAGTACCCCTTCGCCTGCCTGGCGCCCATTTCTGTATTGGTGTCATTGCTGTTTTGCGTCTTATATCCCACAGCACTTTAGTTTTGTGGATTCACCCACAGAACACAGCGGTGAGTCGAGAATGTGTGTTATAACAAAATTATTTTTGGCTAGAAAACCAAGCCTGTAGTTTGCATATTTTAGACTGAGAGCACCTAAAATCCTAAGAATAGTGTGTGTGTGTGTGTGTGTGTGTGTGTGTGTGTGTGTGTGTGTGTGTGTGTGTGTGTGTGTGTGTGTGTGTATGTATATATGTGTGTATATATATATATATATATATATATACACACACACACACAGGGAGAGCACGGTGTGTTTGTTTTCAGGACCATTTGCTGTTTAACCACTGTTCTGATTAGATACTGTAGTGTCTGCGCGCATGCGTGTTTGTTTGTGTATGTGTGTGTGGTTAATACACAGGTGCACTGGTTGGGTGGTCTGCATTGATGCGACACGCCTCATACACACATGATCAAACACACAACCTGCAGTGAGAAGAGAGAGAAGAAGCAGATGTTGACTTAACATTATAATATTTACATAATGCAGTTATATGTGATCACTTGAGTATATGTGCATGTGCAATACTTATATACTTTTTTGATATCTTAGTTTGGGGAGAATGGTCATTCATTCAACAAAATATGGAAAACTGTTGAACACATCAGCTTTAAATAAAATACTTTGAATGAAGAAGGACACATTTTGGTCAGTGCTCAAAGTATTGAATTTTGGTCTGCTAGTCTGAAGCAACAACCACGCTTACTCAATAAATGTGATACTTGAGGAAGTTTTTGAAAATACAGCTGAAAATATAGAGACAGGTCGACAGTGTTCAATGTGATGATTAAGATCTTTTGCGGTATTTGAGTTTGGTTACCGGATGTGAACAAGAACATCATATTCTTGTAGCCTATATGATAAGTCAACATGTCTGGTGGTGTTGACTTAAAGTATAGCGTAGTGTCATTGCTTTTTGCATTTGAATTTCCATCTATAAGACAATTAAATGTTTACAGTATGTATGTATTAGTTGTCTGTATTACAGCTACCTGTCTGTCTTACTTGTGGCACCTGCTGACAGGATGTAACTATCTGCTTCTTGCAATTTGTTTTGATTGATGTTCAGGCAGGATGTTGTTCACATCCAGCTCTCTTTAGGTTTTCAGTGTTTTTATGCCCATTTGGTGGCTGCATGAATTCAGCTTCCTTAATGTACAGCTCATGCACAGAAATAAAATATGCAAGTGCAGAAATATCGCATGTCTTGTGGTCATTGTACATTTAGACTGTATAAATATAATAAAGTAAACAGTATTTTCATTCTTTGCTGTGGGAATTGCAATTTGCAGTCATATTTGTGATAGCATGAAATACTACCAGTTTAAGGTCTTTAAGATCAGTGCATCCTGCCATAACTGAAGGGGATCAAATAAATTAGTCATGAATTGATAACAACATGACAGATTAGGTGGACTTCAGTCAGAGAGGATCAGTCATTATATCAACAATAACTACAGATTATATAACTGACCAGAATTTATTTATAGCATAATAAAGACAATTTTGCCTATGACGGCAAGCAACAATGTGCACAGATCTAATGAGAGTATAGAGATGTAAGAGAGTGTGGTTGTCTTTATTAGAGTGTGTCCCCAAAGAGCCTTTGACATTATTCTCCACAGACTGAAAAGACTTCTATAATTGCCTTTCTCTTCTTTCTGCTAGACGTCCTATATTGAGGCTCCTCTGTCCTGTGTGACCCCCTGACACAGAGAGGTATGACCACACACACACACACACACACACACACACACACGTGCACGTCTGCATGGGCAAGTTAAACCTTAAGTTAGCGGAAGTCTGAGAGTGTATCCTCTGTTTCAGCTTGTGTGTGTATTCAGAGCAGCATGTGTTGTTTGTGTGTTTGTTTCTGTGAAGCTCAGCAAATGTCAGCCATAATAAAACACCATGGTGCAACTGCAGTGTGCATCGCCACCCACACAAACATAGAAAAGCAACACACATGCAGTACGCTGTATATACCTCTCCACTTCTGCCCTATTCCCCCTCTCTCTGTCCTGCTCTGTACTTTAATCTATAGCTGAGCTCCCTGAGTGAAGACTTCAGCCAGCACTTCACAAATAAACTTTTAGTTTTACTTTAGAGTTTCCACTGAGTGTGTGAGGGCTTTTATTTCCACTTGAAACAAATATACATTTTCACTGCTCATGATTCAGGACTTGTTTGTTTTGTGAACAAAGCTTTTTGTGTCTTATCACCTCGACATAAAATCCATTTTTACAGTTTTACTTCTGAGGGAGCAATCATTTAGTAAACAGTGTGGTAGTAAAGCAATTACTTTTCTACCCACTCAAATAATGTGATAACTTTGTGTTTTAATAACAGAAACAAGTTAAAACTAAAACATTTGTATTTTAGACGGACTCGCAACGTGACTCAAGGGAAGCCAATGTCGTCTAGTGCCACCATCAGGTCAAACACTTTGTTTGTTTAGTAATTTGGTTTATGACCAAACACTTGCAAAACTAATGACATTCCCATCAGCCTCAGCTGTACTAGGTGTTTAGTGATAATTAGCTAATGTTAGCATCCTAACATGCAATATTTATGTCCTAAGATGGGGTACATGGTACAACAAACATCAGCATGTTAGCATTGTCATTGTGAGCATGTTAGCGTGCTGATGCATTTAGCTCAAAGTCAGCCCCATAAGGCATGTCTGTAGACCCTTAGTTTTGTTTCCACCACATTCTCCAAATATCAAAATGAAATTACAATGTCAATCAAAAGAAAATAAATGAAATTTCTCAATTTTTGATTTTCATTTATAATTCATCATTATCCCCTTAGGAGGAGAATATAAGTAGATGTAACTGTTAGTCTTACTTTTGACACAAAACCTATAAATCAGACAGCTTTAGGCTTGATTTATACTCCTGCATAATGCAATTTATACTTTTGCGTCAAATCGACGGCGTAGCCCCCTACCCTACGGCGTCCTAGCCTGACGTGCACCTCCTCAAAAATGTAACTACACGTCGAGGCGACACGGACCGTAAGCTCTGTGAAGTGCCCGTGCTTTGAAGTAACTTTTACTATCGCCCAAAACAGCAGCTGTAACACGGTGGATCAATATATTTCACCATCACAACCCGAGCGAAATGACTCGTTTCACTATTAGAATGTGATCCACTTGGTAACATTTGAAACGGCTAAACCAGCCGCACGTTTACAATTTTACCCCCATTCCTGTTAGCGGAGGGCTAAACAAGAAGTTAGCCTGCTCGCCTGGCAATAGTCAACACAGTGGACGCTGTGGCGCTACTGCCGACTAGCGTTTGGGGGTATAATTGCAGAATAACACACCTATGCACAAGTATGGCTAGTGCCTACGGCATAGCTACGCACGTAGACCCTACGCAGGAGTATAAATGGGCCTGTAGGGTAGGGGGCCACGCAGAGGCTACGCTGTCGATTTGACGCAGAAGTATAAATTGCGTTTAACTTCTTTCTCTCTGTTTATAAGAAGTTTTAATTGAGATTAGAAGAAGAATTTTGTACTTTATAAAACTTTATGGCTTTGTGGCATGATGTTGTTTATCTATTATCACCTACAATATTTGTCCTGTATTGTATTGTTTTGAGTGAATGTTAGGTAGCTACAGGTGAACCAGTCATTTATGAAGCAGGGACTTCGATTTTTGGAAAACAGCAGCAAAGCTGTTCCTCGCCCTCTGACATAGTTGGGGGTAATTGTGGGAAGGGTAATTATATCTAAGGTGGTTTAAAGCTTTCAGAGTTAAAATAAGAAGCGAACCTCACTGACCAAATGTTCCTCCATGTCAGCTATACACAGACAGACAGACATAGACAGACAGACAGAGTGTAGTTATCACTAAGGCCAGGCTGGAAATAACAATTTACTCACAAGGGGGTTCAGTGTGGTAACTGCTGGTGAGACTTTTGGAAACACTCACAGCTCGTTTTTGGCTCATGTAACATCCAATCCAAGCTCTGCTCTTCAAAGAAGTCATAATTAGTGTCAATAAAACTTTTTAGCAGCAAGCTTTTCATTGCCTCACATGCATCCACCTGCTCAGCTGCCTTCCTTTATTGCAGGCTCTGTTCTGGATATCAGGGTCAGCAAGTCTTGTTGTTTCCCCTGCATGTCCCACTCTGCTGATGCATTCAGTTAAACATATGAGAGGCACAATGCCAGTCTATGTCAGTTAGGGCTGGGCATGTTAACGTATTATAATAATTAGTTATGATAATTATTTTATCGCACGTTAACGCAGTCATTATAATTTGAAAGTCCATTTCTCACTAGCTCTGAATACACATACAGTGAAACCATGGGTCACAGGAGGGGTGGGATGTTTCTGTAGACTATGTTGGATGCAGCGGGTGGGAGAAGTGGATAGCTACACACTGCATGCTGATTAATATTGGGGAAGACGTTGGTCTTAGGAACATTTTTAAAATCTCAATTTAGTCGTTTGGCCCGACGGGGGCTGCTGTACGCTCCTCAGGTAAACAGGAGACAAGCGCTCCGCGAATAAACGGCAGCCACTGTATTGAGAGTAACAATGGAAACGGCTTCTGTGCGCTACACAGCTGTAGCCTATTTAACTTAAGTTAAAATTATAGGCTACATAACTTTACCTGATAGGCCTTCATCTAGTTTTGCAGGGATGGTCTGCCATGCGAATTTGTTGTTGTCCTATTAACAATTAGCGAGGATCAGTCTCTCTTCCAACGATTTGTGCTGCGCGTCACATACAAAAAGTTAAAGACAATTCAGCTTTGGCAGCGGACATGTGCGTGAGGCGAGCACCACCGCAAGACTTCAATTCACTCTAACAGGGACACTTGCTACTGAACATAGACTTTTTATGCTGCTCCCTGATTAAAGAAAAATGTTTCTGGTGATACCTGTTCAGAAAAAAACAAGAAAACTGGACTCTGATGGTAACTTGTTTTAACAAGTTAAATAGCAGTACATTTAAATTAAAAGTGTGCAATACACTACTTCAGAATTCATTATTCAATTTTATGCATAACTATGCAATTAATTATGATTAATCGCAAATTTAAAAATTTTAATCGTCACCCAGCACTAATGTCAATATAGGCTCAACAGTAGAGATACAGAGAAGCAGAAATGTTCTCTAGTGGTGCAGCATGAAAGTTTTATCTTCATACAAATGTGCTGCATAGGAATAGGAACTAATACAGACGGATCTCAAACAAGCTGGTTGTAAGAATAAGATGCAGCCACATCGAACTGTGCCTCGACCCAGACCAGCTCCATATCCAATGCAGATCCAGAACTGCAGTTGCAATCATCATTTCAAGCTTTGGCATCATTATTGTTTCTGTAATATTTGATATTGTAAGATAAATATATTTCTAAGACAATATTTAGGGCAGATTAATCAATTTGTGGATTGACAGAAAATTACCTGCAACTACTCTGATAATCGATCAAGTCATCAAGTCATTTTTCAAGCTTTCAAGTGTGTGATCATAACTGCTTATGTTTGTGATTTGGACTGTTGGTCTGACAAAAGAAACAATTTCAACATGTGATGATTAATCAAGAAAATAATCTCAAGATTAGTCAGTAATGAAAGTAATTGTTTGTAATTATGTAATTGTGACAGAACTTAAGGTATAATCTACACAACATAAAAACAAGTGGGGAAATGAGCTTATTTGTTGAGCACCAGTAAAGGATGTAATGAGGCCTATTGTCTCTTCCTTGTAGTGCCGATGTTAAAAAAACAAAACAAACAACCGGTTACAGATCTGCAATAAGTTACAGATTCATTTGTGGGCAAGAGACAACTTGCTGTCCTACAATCCTGGTGTATGTGGAGATTCCAGATTTTATTAAACATGTTTGAAATTGTGGTGAAGATGGAACTTACAGTCAGGTAACGTGAGACGGAGTCCTCTGACGAAGGTTGTCTAGGGTGCGTCAAGGGCATTATAAAGAAGTGGCGTGACTGTCACTGTAAGTTGTCGAGAGAGGACATTTGGAAAGGTTGCACATGACTAACTGGTATCAGCAGCTGTGTGTGTGTGTGTGTGTGTGTGTGTGTGTGTGTGTGTGTGTGTGTGTGTGTGAAATAGCAATGAAACAGCTGTATAAAGACACATGGGAATGTGAGAGAGAGTGTCTCTGTGTGAGAGAGTGAGAGAAAGGAGGAATCCTTCTTTTGTCTGGATGGAGGATGAAGTCTCCAGGGAAGCTTTCAAATCCTCTTTGGAATGTGTGTGTGTGTGTGTGTTTGCATCCGTGCAAGCGCAGAAAATGTGTGTGTCTGAGGTTGGCTTGTCACCACATTTATACAAGGAATGCAAATATTTGTGTAAGTGCGTGTGTGTCGGTTTTGTGGTGTAGTGTAACTTTTACCATGGTGACTGATCTCCTGGTGATTTCTGTGTCACCTGACAGCAGTGGTTAACAACTTACTTTCTTTCGTTCGTTTACAGTCCAACCTCCCCTCCCCCTCTCCTTCTCTGTGTAGCCTTGTTAAGTTGTCTAAATGCCAGCCTACAGATCAGATTTCGTCAGCTACTCTCATTAATATGTTCATTTACCAAGCACTCAACTCATCCTCTGGTGGTCGTGAATTTGACTCTAAACCTGCTTCTAGCGTGTGAGCGTGTGTGTGTGTGTGTGTGGGGGGGGGGGGTCGGTATGCATGCATGTGTAAAAATAAAAGTTACAGTCACGCAGTGCCTCGTTTGTCAGTGCCATGTATTTTCTGTCCATTTAGTTCCTTAGGTTTATCTGAATTTTAATAAATTTTGTTGTAAATGTTGTACAAATCCACCTGAAACATGGAGAACATTTCAAAAATCGATTGCTGTTGGTCTTTGAAGTCGTTGTTGACCACATTTCCTGCAAAAGACCAAAAAGGAAATGCGTTAAGTCAACACCAAACAATGCTCATGCAATGACAATGGACGTCAGATAAATAAGAGGGGAACTGATGAGTGAGGTTTAAGGTAACTCTGGTACAATTCATTGAACAGCAACAATACTGCCTATAGAGCTATAATGATTAGTCAATTAAATGATTAGTTGTCAACTATTAAATCAAATGCCAACTATTTTGATTATCAATTAATCACTTTGAGTAGTCGCCGTCTTGTTCACACTACACAACTTGCCGTCTTGTGACAGCAGTCTTGAAGTCGCTTTGGTGTTCACACTACGTGACTGATCGGTGACAGGGGGTCACACACTACACGAGCTGACAGGGCTCTATGTAGATATCGAGTCGAGTATTTGGCATACTAGAGATCTGGTGGACGTTGGCGATGTGGAGTGATGTGCCGAGCTTGCCGTGCGGCCAATCGGGCTAAAAATTGTGTAGTGTGAACTAGGCTTAACCTGAATATATTTGGGTTGTGGACAAAAGAAGACATTTGATGATGTCACCTTGGGCTTCGGGAAACACTTATCGACATTTTTGACAATTTTCTGGACCTTACAGCTAAATGGTTAAAGAGGTGGTATTATGCTTTTTGGCTTTTTCCCTCTCCTTTATTGAGTTACATACCTTTTTTGTGCATGTAATAGGTTTGCTCTGCTATGAACTGCTTGAAAACAGCTCATTTGTTGTCCAACCGCTTCCCTTTCATACTTGTGACGGAAGAAAGCTAACCGCGCCTTATATAATTCTCGCCAAGCAGCTACTCCGACACTCCCTCAAAAACACTGAGCTGCAGCACATACCTCTCATCTCTCTCAAGCTTTACGTCAAGTTTTCATTGTGATGTTACAAGTAAAGGAAGTGAAGGGCTGGACTACAAACGAGTTGTTTTCAAGCGGTTCAGAGCAGAGCTTTCTGGGTGTCCTTTGGGCTGAACTTTGGGCTTTTTCACTTTGCAAACCTGTTACATACACAAAAAGAGATATTACTCAATAAAGGAGAGGGAAAAAAGCCAAAAAGCATAATACCACCTCTTTAAAATCTTTTCCACCTCACTGGAGCATAAACATGTTTTTCAATACTTGGATGGAAACAGGTGCTGAGTTCTCCTGCTGTCTTGTGTTTTGTGCAGGATGGTGATGGAGGAGGGGGGACAGAGAGACAGAGGGAGGGGGACTCCAGCGACACCAGGAGCAGAGGGGAGACAGATCTTTGTGGAGATGGGTGAGTGACCTTTGAACCCTAATATAAGCCTTACATGACCTCTGCTCAACCCTTCTCAACCCTTTGGAAATATTTATTTGCTTGTTTGCAGGAACATGGACATTTCTGTAATTGTATTTTTTTTTTTACACTAAAATTAGATTTATTCTCTATTCATAAATATATCACTCCATCAAAAGCACAGGGAGTTTATTCTGAGCGGCTACAGTTTTGGAGATTGATGAGATTTTCATAAGCCCAGAGATTTTCTTTTCTCCACTACAGATGCATTATGACACAGCAGAGCTTCTAAATGTCTTCTTCTTTGGTCACAGGGGAGCAGAACTTCGATGGTATTTGTCTCTCTACATATCGAACAGCCTGCAAGCTCAGATTCATACAGAAGAGATGCAACTGTGAGTCAACCTTCGTCTCCTTCATTAATTATCGTGAGAATGACATGAAAGTTTGAATTTTAGTCTGTTTGTGTCAAAAAAAAAATTGTCAAATAAATTTATAGAAACTTGTCTATATGACAAAATAAGATTTAAAATGTTACCCGTGTCTCTTTTTTAGTGGAATGAATAAAAAATACTTTTCGTTGAAGATTTCACTGACTTGACTCATTCCAGTACATCTGATCGACATATACAACGTGATTGAGGCGGTGCGGGACGCTGGTCTGAACGCCGTAGAGCTGAACGCTGGCATCTCTGTGACCAGACTGGAGAACCTGGTGTCCTCCCTGTTCAACCAGCTCAGCAAGCGCCTGCCCACAACACACACCATCAACCCGCGAGAGAGTACCGTCCTATTAGTCGAATTCTTACTTGCTGCCATTGACAGGTTGGTACAGACAAATCTGTGGATACTGTGGAAGGAAATATGTGTTTCTTGATGCCCACCTTTTTGCACCTTGACTTCCTGTTGTTTAAATGTGAAACACATATCCACATGTGATAATTTCACAATACTGTGCTCTAGTGTCATATGTGTTTGTGTGTGTGTGTTTGTTTCAGTGAGCCAAATAGCCGTCTGACGGTGCTGTCTGTGAAGGCAATGCTGGCCACACTGTGTGGAGGGAAACTGGTAGATAAACTCCGCTGTGAGTATCAGTGTGTACCATCAAGACTGGCATGGAATCTATTACAGATAAATTATCTTACACTTCCCAGAAACACTTAAAACATTCCTCAGTAAATGGGCATGAACTTACTGAGTGCACATGTAGGCTTTGGGTGTAAACAAAAGAAATAGTGATAATGATAGCTTATCAGGAGCAAGAGTATGCATTTTTGTATTTGTATTGTTTAGGGCTGTAGTGGTTCTGAAACCGAGACCGAAACTGCGTCACAAAAGTCCATGGCCTTGTGTTGCGGACCCAAGAGTCAGAACCATGACACACCCGCTCCCCGGACTATTGAGCTCTCATAAAGTCAGAGTATCTGGGGGCGGCGGCGGCGGCTGGTGGGGGCGGTAGCTGTGTAGGCCTATTTGTATTGACAGTAGGTTATTCTAAGTAATTTTCCACCTTAGTTTAGTTTAGTGTTTATTTACTACTTGAATCTGCTCTTTTTCTCTTCTCCCCACACTCACACAGGCACACAGACCTAGCCTGCACCTCTGGTCTCTCACAGCAAACACGCCAGCTTGCTCCGTCTCTTTCTGTCTTTCTCTCTTCCTGTATGTGTCTGCTGACTTTCTCCATCAGCAGTACGTTTCATAAACTCGCCGTTATTAATAAACTCACCCGTGATTCAGTTTTCAAGTGCGCCACAAGTGGATCTAAACTGAAAATAACGTTAGTGAGTGACATCTGCAGTGGTGTGTTCACTGTTGCTGTGTAATGTAAAATTTTTACCGTGTGCGCATACTGTAATATCAGATAACATCTCTCTGTCTGTGTTTCTCTACAAAATGCTAAAGTGGGTTACCGAATATACTTTGGCAGATGCTAATATACCCGGCCGGCCCGCCAAAGTAAAGTATATGTCAAAATCAGTGTATTTAAAGTTAGTGCAAGCTGTAGGGATATATTTTGTAAATATTACACCTTTAACCAATTTTACTGTCCTCCAACTTTGGGTGTCAGGTGACTATTTTGGTCCAGTGATCATGCCTGCAACTTTGACTACATTAATTATGAACATGGAAGTATCTTGGAATGTTAAATAGGCCAATTTACAAAGCTGGATAATCTTACAAAGTAATTACAGATGCATTAAATGCGCATTAAAATCACTGAAATAATAACTGTAGCTGTAAACAGTAACTGTTTAACTAAAATGTCAACAACTTCCAACAGGGCAAAGTTAGAAACATTACGGGATTGTGCTCCTCTGTGACCACACTGCATGTTGGTCTATTGAGTTTACTGTACATGTCACATATGTGCCACCTTGTGGAAAATGCATGTCAATGCTGCTGTTTTCTTATGTACGTTTACTTGCTTTTATTAATCATGTGTTCATTAAGAATGTATTCAGTCCCATTATGGAGACGCAAAGCTTTTCCCCACAGGGTTAACTATTAAAATCTACGTTTAGTTTTTGGTTAAAGTCCACACTACATGTCTATATGGAAATCAATATAATTTACTACAATGCTTTCCTAATTGTGTATGTAGATGTGTTTTCTCAGGTATCTGACTCCAGTGGCGTGTTGGTACAGTCCAAGTTTGATGGTTTTCTGAGGGAGGCTCTCAGGCTGCCCACCGCTGTACATGAAGGGCCGTCCTTTGGCTACACACACACCTTAGCACGCTCGTGCTTCCCACAACAGGTACGCTCACACGTCTCATCCATCTGTTGTTTATTATGCAGATTTATTTCACAGATTATAATAAATTTGATTTTCTCTAGTTACCTGCTATTCCTAACAGTGGTATTATATTATCCACACTGTTTCGGCAATGACTCAATTTCTTCACGCAGGATTATAAGAACTGAATTTGATTCTAATGGTTCATTTTTGATTTGGTGCTATTATTGTGACTTTTTCTGAGTTCCTGAAGAGTTTTGTCTTTTGTAATTGTTACCGATGTAGAAGAGGGTGATGCTCAACATGTTCCTGGACATCGTAGTTGACCCTCCTCAGTGTCTTGTATGGCTGCCTCTCATGCACCGCCTGGCCAATGTGGAACATGGTACACACACACACACACACTGTTTCGTGTTTTTAATTTCCAGTAAACTTTAATGTTCAAAATTGGAATTATCTTTTACTGTAACCTTTTATTATAAAGTTTATTTTGTAACTGTAACATAAGCTGCTTCAGACATATTTTAATCAGTTCTAAAAAAGTTTGAGACATTGCCAAAACCCATTTATTTTATATTTATTATATTGAAGTAATCTAAACAAATAAATAAAGGCTGATATAACTAATCATTTTCAAATATTGATATCAGTATTGACCTCTAAAGTCCAGTTTCAGTCTGACTAGTGCGTCTCCATCTTGGATTTTCCTGAGCACCTGCTATAGTGGGAGGCCAGCTGTGTTTCCTCTTGATCGACCTGTGAGACTCTAACACTGTGGTTAACAGATTCAGTGTCTTCTTCTTCTTCTCTTTCTCTCAGTTTATCATCCTGTGTCATGCTCCTTCTGTCGTGGAAACGGTATGACAGGCTTCCGCTATCGCTGCCTCCGTTGCCGTGGTTACCAGCTCTGCCAAAACTGCTTCTGGCGCGGCAACGCCAGCGGCTCTCATAGCAACCAGCATCAGATGAAGGAGCACTCGTCCTGGGTGAGTCCATGTGTGGTTACTCATTCGTCAACCAGGGGTAACTCTGTGTGTGTGTGTGTGTGTGTGTGTGTGTGTGTGTGTGTGTGTGTGTGGTTCATGGACCTCCATCTTTGTGAGAACTATTATGAATTTAGACCTTGACAGTGGGGCACTTGGAAAGTAAGACATAATAATGTTATATTCATCATAGGCATGATCACTCAATCATGACTGGACCAAAATAGTCACGTGACACACAGTTGGAAGACTAGGTTTATAGTGTAATATTAACAAAATATAGACCTACACAACTTTAAATACAGTGTTTCCCACGTATGCTACTTCGGCGGGCCACCCAGGTATATTAATAGCTGCCAAAGTAACGCAACGCTCTCTGTTTCAGAACCGTAAAATTAAGACAATCTGGTTAAAGACAGTATTTTAAAGAGATTTACTATTTTGATCAATCTGGACAGGGACTCAGGGCCAAATACAGGTGTATTTCCATCCAAATATTGTTAACTTTTTGCTAATTATGATGTATGTTCCAAAAATCCTATAAAAGGACAAGACATTCCAAAAAAGTTGCACTAGCCTGAAGGGGAAATGTTTTCAATGAAGAAATTATATATTTATAGATGGGAACATAGTTGTTGAATTATTCATCACCCAGGCTTGGCATAATTTGTCTTATTAATGTTTCAGTTTAAGGGATAAATCTCTTTGCTAGTGCAGTTCCTGCCTGTCTAATCGAATCTTCGCAGGAAACTCATCCTAATAATCCTCAGCAGGCTTTACATGTCATTTCCTACAGGATTATGTTTTGGGGTCCAGTTTATTCTTAGTTCATGGGCTTTACTTCAAAATTATATAGTACAAATTTCCTTTACACCAAGGAAACACAGTTACATCTGCCTCTCCTTTCTGTTTGATGAGGTGTATCCACCTTAAAACAGTGACCTTAAAAATCAGAAACTGAAGCCAGAACTTGACAATAATCATCTGATCTTTAAACTCCTGGCTTTAAATTGTTTTGACTTGATACAAGTGTGAAATTAATATATAATAATTTTAATATAATACATTTACTTAAATGCAAACCAGGTAATAAACACATTAAAACCAATAAAATGTGCTTCCAAGTTCAAGTATTATTTATATTATGTATTTTCATTGCAATTTATCACCCACATGTCCTCAAGGATTTCCTGGAAATACTGTACCTCAAGCAAACTTAGTCAGTAATGGTCTCAGTAAGCTAACCATACCGAAATCACCTGACTCCACCAAACTTAGATCTACAAAAAAAGAACCACACGGTTACAGATTTGTATTCAAGTATGGCTCTTGAAGGCAAGTATGGCTGTTATCCATGGAGTTCAATCCTGTCCTTAAGTGTAGTTAACATTGCTGCAGAAAATGTCTTTGTTATAAATGTCAACAAAATCCCACAGTTTATAAATGTTGACCTGACTGTTGCATGTATATATATGTGTGTGTGTGTGTGTGTGTGTGTGTGTGATTATTTGTGTAGAAGTCACCGGCGACAAAGCTTGGCCGAGCCCTGAGCAGGACTTTGGGCTGTGTGTCGTCCAGAGAGCCCCCTCATCCAATTTACCCAGAGGAACCTGAGAGGACCCTAAACCTCGCCAACATAGTGTAAGACCTCACAACACTGGCTACGTACATTTCTTTTGTACAGTCTGTGGTTGTACCTCACTGAAAAGACGCTTGTTATTTCCTCGTTTTGGTTCCCGCTCACTTTCAGTCACTCTGCCTAATGATAAAGTCAATAAAGAAGATGGCTCTAGACAATCTTAAGGGATTTTAGTAAAATTTAATCTGCCATTAGCCTGTAATGAATTACCACTCATGGCCGCAGTGGCCGCTGTTGCTTGGTCTTGCAGTCAGTGGCGTTGGAAATAGCACTGTTATCAAACAATAGATAGAAACAATGTCACATGTTACTTCTAAAGTCAAAGTTACAGAAGTAGGGCCTTTTTTAAAAAACCTTTCTAACTTGTTACTTTTCAACTACTTTTCTTCAAGCAACAACAACATTCTGTAACACAGTTTAAACATATTGACACAATACAATTCCTCTGAAAGACTATAAACCAGCCTTATATATAAGTGCATACAACAGTAATTTTCAGTCAAGCACTGGTACAATTGAAGGGCTTTGTAGAAGCTCTAACGTGAAAGTTAACATTTTTCATTTCGGAAAGTGAAACCTTTATTACCAAGAAGCAGACTCTTGGCTTAAAATAACATTTTGGTCCGTTATCACCGGTGCAGTTACATGTACACACACAGTTCAGATAACATGAGACCTCCCACCTCTATAGTCAACTGCTTAGGTTGCTCCGCCCTTTGTGGTTAGATCCACACAGTTGATTTTCCAAACATCAGCAGACTGGGTCATTACAGACCTACAAGCACTGGGCACATATTCAGGCCAGCACACAGAGACTGCACTTAGCGCTCATGTGAGTATGCTTATAATGATGCCGTGTCATTCCTCTCCCAGACTTGCATTTCTCTGAATTTCTGTCTTTTTTCAATTCCCTCTGGATCTGCATTCACTCTTTTTCTCTTTCTTTCTCTCCCTCTGGTGATCTTTGCCCTGTCTGTGTTTGCTCACACAATTCACTATTGCATGATTGCACTCAAAGGCACGTGAGAGTGTGTGAGTGTGAGTGAAGGAATGTGTGTTTTCTGACAGGCAGGACTTTGTAATTTAATGATTTCAATGTTTTTATCCTTACTCTACTGTTAATATTGGTGTGTGTGTGTGTGTGTGTGTGTGTGTGTGTGTGTAGCCCATCTCGCCCTGTTAGGAACACCAGTGAGGCCATGTTGCTGTCCTCATCAGTGCCCGAGTCCTCCAAGAGGTAAAGACTGACACGAAGAGTGGAAAATACCAGTTTAGTATTTGTCGTATTTTGTTCTGTCAGATTAGAATATTACAATTTTCCGTTTTTTTGAAGATACAAGTGTTTAAAATATGGCCAATTTGTTTAAAAGATTCTAAAAATGAGATAACAAACAGAATGTGAAGTAACAGTTATGACGTTATGTCAAAGATGTCTGTGCATTGTGTTGCTGAAATATCTACTGAAGTTAGCATGCTAACCAGTTATCCTCGGACTGTCATGGTGTCGTAATATCATTGTGCCTTGTGAGACTCTATCAGCTACTAGGACCGCTAATTTATCTGCATGTCTAACTGGGCTCCGCTACCTTTTTTCTAGTATGAGTGTCACATCTGGAGAGTAGCTTTAATTCTTACACACTGGACCTTCAAGGCCATGGGTAGTAACTTGCTTGAGTTAACATATATTAGGTTTTTAAAAGCATGTTCCTTGTAAATTACTATTTCTTTTACACAAACTTTACACACGTTGGCAATTTTATTTTGCTGATTAGATTTGACGGCAATAAAATGCGTCCCAACATGCTGCAACCAAAGAATAGATACAGTATGTCACTTTCGTCTCCCAGTCACCATTCTTTTCAATTTTATATTAATGTCTAATTGGAAAAAACTATTGGCATAATTATTGATAATGAAAATGATTATTAGTTGCAGCCTACAGGTGAACAGAGAATTAAACAGATGGCATTTGCAAGGAAAAAATACATCTTCAGCTGAAATGTATACATTAAAGATATAGAAAGATACATAATGTGGTTTCTGGATCTGATCTACAATACCTTTTACCATGTCTGCTTCATGGGGAAAATGTGACTGGGCTTGCTTAATATATTTTCCAGTTTGTTGTTCATATTTTGTAATGTTTTTTTTTTTTAAGTTAGACACTGACTGCCTGTTTCCATCTTGAGAAGCTCTGGAGGAATGAATACACCAGGGACAACAATGGAAAAAAACTGGATTTTATCATTCCATTGCTGACAAAGTGTGATATGATTAAATGCAATCTTACCAAAACCAAAAAGACATTATATTTTCACCGTATGCAGAGTGACAGCAATACAATACGGAATGGAAAAAGCATAATGAAAATATGTAAGAAATTACATGTTGTTTAAAAATAAATATGCCATCATATATGCGATATATATAGTTAATGAGAATATATTATAATCTGAATAATGTAAATTCTCAGCATAGATATGCAGAAAAAGGGCTATGTTGACAATACTGAAACAGTCTGTCACATCATACAATCGTACACATCCATCAAAAATGCATGGCTGCTAGTGTAATTCCTGCAAATTGGTGAGATGGGATCATAATCAGTGTGTGTGATGCTGATTGTTTATTTCCTGTCTATTTTTCCTCTCATCCAGTTTGGCAGCCGCTCAGCGCATGAACGAGGAACACGCTCTAATCGCTGCGTATGTGAATCGCCTCCAGAGCAGCCCATGGTGAGAGAGGTTCAGGGATACAGCAGGGGTGGTTACATAAGGCAGTCAGGGAGGGTGTAAAGAGGGGAGCAAGGTGAAGTACAGTTAGGCCTTAACTTAGTCAAATGTATCCAAATGTGATAATTTTACTGTAGTTTATCATCATTGTAGTGAAAATCAAAGTAAAAATAAAATCATTGTGTAAACTATCTCTCAAAGCTGTTTGTTTGCAAGTTGTGCTGTCTACTGTGACTCCATTAGCCAATGATTTAAACGCTGTCAGCCCCAGGGGCAACATTTACACTCAGTGGCCAGTTACAGTTAGAACATCCCAGCTCATACCTCAGCATCATAGATGTGTCCAGCATCCTTTTTAAATGAATTTAGTCTGTGAACAGAAGTTTGTCAATAGCTTAAAGCAGGGCTGAGCAGTAAAGCAATAATAATAATTACAGTGATATAATTTCTCTTAATAACAAATGTTCAATAAAACTTTACTTAAATTTATTTGCATCACAAACCAGTTATCACTTAACTTTTCTATAAAGATCTTTATTTTATAGAGGAAAAGGGTTTGAAAGATTTTACTTTATTTTTTGCATATTTGTTATTTTGAATGTTCTACCTCAGAATTGTTAAGTGATCCAAGTTTGGCATCAAGTTTTTGTCTTGTTCTGACCATAAAGAATAGCCCAATTTAAAACAACAATAAACCATCTGGTTTCTTTAACTTTTCACTCAGGAGCAAAATCAGCTTTTAAACTCGAAATAAATAATGATTTGACATTTATCGTGATAATTATCGAGATCAAATTATATGAAATGTTTTATCGTGATAACATTTTTGGCCATATTGCCCAGCCCTAGCTAAAGCCGTAGCGTAAAGCCAACATTTCCAGGGTGATTTTAGGGTAACCTTTGGTTCTCTTTGGAAGTAGTAGCAGAAAAAATAGAATCACATTGCATGTTTACAATTAAACTTTAAAAATTAAACTTTTTACTTGAAAGTTTTTCCTTGTTCCATTTATTGGTTGCTTTGCTGTTGTTACAGGGATTTATGCAGGCTTGGCCTGTTACTGTATTCCTAGTTGCATAGTAACAACATTTTCTACTCTTTTGGGCTGTGTACATACCTGTTATTAGAGAGCAGAATGCACTGTAAAGTGTTGTCAGTTATAGTATTGGCTCCCTTTATCGCACTACAGTTACTCACAGTGGACATTTGACAGATTATACTGTATGTGAATATTTCACAACAGTTTTGGGCCATATAAATGCTGTTTAGTGTATGTTGCAGTCATTGAGTTTCTGTGTTCTCTGCTCTCTTTGTGTGTTAGTAGTGTGGACAGTCCCAGCAGACAAGATGAGGAGCACAAACTGATCGCCCGCTACACCTCCCGACTGGCAGAGACTGACGGTGCAGGAGTGAGTCAATAACAACTTGTTTTCTCACACATAGTAAACTGTAAATGCATAAACACACAATCAGTTACTTCTATGTTATGAGGGCTGCAACTAACAATTATCATTCTCAATTAGTCGATTAGTTGTTTGGTCTATAAAATGTCAGAAAATGTTGATCAGTGTGTGTGTGTTCCAAAGCCTAAGATGACGTCCTCAAATGTCTTGTTCTGTCTCCAACCCAAAGATATACAGTTTACAGTTTCATAAAGGAGGAAAGAAACCAGAAACTATTCACAATTAAGAAGCTGCAATCAGATCAGAAAAAATCTTAACAAATTACTCAAACCGATTAATCGCATGTCAGAATAGTTGGCGATTAGTTTAAAAGTTGACAGCTAATTGATTAATCGTCTCTAATCTTAAAACTATAGTTCTAGACAAAAAAATGTATTGATTTCTTAATAATAAATGACCAACCCACAGTCCATGCAAAACCAAACAAGATCCAGTAACTTATTTTTTTGTGTTTCTTTCAGATGATACCTAACCGAAGCATCAACTTTGATGTGAACAAACAGAAGAGGGAGCTCATTGCTCAGCTGGAGTGCAAAAACAGGTGTGGCAATAGTGGATGGGTTATTAATTTGAATTCATTAACTTTTAGTTTGACTCATGCTCTTGTAAGACTTTCACTTTTTAGTTTTAGTTGTGACTCATATGTACAGTGGGTACGGAAAGTATTCAGACCCCTTTCAATTTTTCACTCTTTGTTTCATTGCAGCCATTTTCCAAAAATCAAAAAAGTTCATTTTATTTCTCAGTAATGTACACTCAGCACCCCATCTTGACAGAAAAAAACAGAAATGTAGAAATTTTTGCAAATTTATTAAAAAAGAAAAACTGAAATATCACATGGTCATAAGTATTCAGACCCTTTGCCGTGACACTCATATTTAACTCAGGTGCTGTCTATTTCTTCTGATCATCCTTGAGATGGTTCTACACCTTCATTTGAGTCCAGCTGTGTTTGATTATACTGATTGGACTTGATTAGGAAAGCCACACACCTGTCTATATAAGACCTTACAGCTCACAGTGCATGTCAGAGCAAATGAGAATCATGAGGTCAAAGGAACTGCCTGAAGAGCTCAGAGACAGAATTGTGGCAAGGCACAGATCTGGCCAAGGTTACAAAAAAATTCTGCTGCACTTAAGGTTCCTAAGAGCACAGTGGCCTCCATAATCCTCAAATGGAAGACGTTTGGGACGACCAGAACCCTTCCTAGAGCTGGCCGTCCGGCCAAACTGAGCTATCGGGGGAGAAAAGCCTTGGTGAGAGAGGTAGAGAAGAACCCAAAGGTCACTGTGGCTGAGCTCCAGAGATGCAGTCGGGAGATGGGAGAAAGTTGTAGTAAGTCAACCATCACTGCAGCAATCCACCAGTCGGGGCTTTATGGCAGAGTGGCCCGACGGAAGCCTCTCCTCAGTGCAAGACACATGAAAGCCCGCATGGAGTTTGCTAAAAAACACCTGAAGGACTCCAAGATGGTGATAAATAAGATCCTCTGGTCTGATGAGACCAAGATAGAACTTTTTGGCCTTAATTCTAAGCGATATGTGTGGAGAAAACCAGGCACTGCTCATCACCTGTCCAATACAGTCTCAACAGTGAAGCATGGTGGTGGCAGCATCATGCTGTGGGGGTGTTTTTCAGCTGCAGGGACAGGACGACTGGTTGCAATCGAGGGAAAGATGAATGCGGCCAAGTACAGGGATATCCTGGACGAAAACCTTTTCCAGAGTGCTCTGGACCTCAGACTGGGCCGAAGGTTTACCTTCCAACAAGACAATGACCCTAAGCACACCGCTAAAATAACGAAGGAGTGGCTTCACAACAACTCCGTGGCTGTTCTTGAATGGCCCAGCCAGAGCCCTGACTTAAACCCAATTGAGCATCTCTGGAGAGACCTGAAAATGGCTGTCCACCAACGTTTACCATCCAACCTGACAGAACTGGAGAGGATCTGCAAGGAGGAATGGCAGAGGATACCCAAATCCAGATGTGAAAAACTTGTTGCATCTTTCCCAAAACGACTCATGGCTGTATTGGATCAAAAGGGTGCTCTACTAAATACTGAGCAAAGGGTCTGAATACTTATGACCATGTGATATTTCAGTTTTTCTTTTTTAATAAATTTGCTAAAATTTCTACATTTCTGTTTTTTTCTGTCAAGATGGGGTGCTGAGTGTACATTACTGAGAAATAAAATGAACTTTTTTGATTTTTGGAAAATGGCTGCAATGAAACAAAGAGTGAAAAATTTAAAGGGGTCTGAATACTTTCCGTACCCACTGTGTGTGTGTGTATGTATGTGTGTGTGTGTGTGTGTGTGTGTATATATATATATATATATATATATATATATATATATATATATATATATATATATATATATATATATATATATATATATATGCAGTAGGATTTCAGGTGTCCCCATCTGGCTGTTATACTGATGTTCCAGCCCACTTTTACCCCATGTTTAGAGAATACTGGTCTTATTTTGAAACATGTCATTGTTTACAAAATTATAGAGTAATTATAATAATATACAGACAAAATTATACACACAATAATTAAAGCAAAACTTTTGAGTGTGCTCTAAAGATGAATGTTTATCAGGTGCAAAACGTCAACTGTTGCCCTTATTTAGTACTATTCATGCACAGTTGACATGTTTTCTTTCTTTTGGTATTTCCCTTCACAATGTTTGAGTTTATGTTTCTCAAATGCTGATGCTTGTCCGATTTAAAGTATATTCCCAGAATCCAACATGCATTTCTCCAGAAAATCTGCAAACGCCTGCAGAAGTGTATGTGTGTGTTCTTGCCCTGTCATTTCACCGTCTGTTCAGTCATGTAACTCTCCCTCAGCTGACCGGTATGTTTTTCATTTCCCAGAGAGATCTTGGCAGAGATCAGACGTCTCCGTGTAGAGCATGACGCAGCGTGCCAGGCCAGCCCGGAGAAAGGCAGCACCAACCCAACTCTTTTGGCTGAGCTTCGTCTGCTCAGGTAAACAAAGCCTCCACCATAGACCAATAGACCGGACAGACCAGGGGCTGGGTAGTCTGCTCTCCTGTTGCACATACACATGCTGTAACGAGTATTTGCTTTTTTGTTTAAACTGCGGCCTTTATGAGTCACACCCACAGAAACGAGTCCCTAAAGTAATTTTCCAAAAACAATTCAAAGTTTGTAATCCCCCTACCCGGCATTTTCTACATTATAACAGTCAGATTTGGCGGGAAATCTGCTGTGTTGTTTTGCAGCACAGAGGGAGAGTGCTTTATGGCAGATGGCGGTAACAGATGGTGTATTTTGTGAAAAGCCAACGTAAAAATCACTTTCAAGATGTTTATGCTTTTTGGTAAAAACAAGAACCCCAAGGAAGAGGAGGGAGACGTGATGATGAAGCAGTAACGATCCTGCCAGTGAGAGAGTTGCAGTGTGACGATGAGGTTTAAAGTTTACTAACCACTGTTTATAGATTTTTTAGATAATAGCTTCTTTCAACTTACTCTGATGCCGTAAGTTTTTGTTTGCAAAAAAATGAGACAATCTCAGCGAAATGTTTTACAGCTTTATGCATTGCGGTCAGTGTCTTTTTGGATGGAGCCACTCGGTGGCGCCAAATTCAAAGGTTTTCAAATTCTACACATAGTGGCTTTAAGTTGTTCAAATCACAATACATACTGTTAAGTTCTTTTGACTAGAATATTCAGAATATACTGTTATGAAATTAGCATTTTTTTTTTGAAAGCTCTTAAATTATCTGAGTTGGGGCTAAATTATATGCATATGTAACTTTAATGATACACATTAGCTAATAGACTAGATTACATTTTATATTACATTAATTAATTTATCAAAAGCGACTAACAGTTGCTATTTATGTCAAAGGTTGCACGCCTCTAGAGCAACTGTGACTTAAGGGGGGTAAGTGTCTTGCTCAGGGACATTGGAGGACGTGTGTAAATTATTACACATGGGATTATTGTCATTATCAGTAATATTGATATCTGAAATTGTCCGATGGTGTGACCTATTGCAACTCGCAGTCATTGGAATCTTTCCCATCACTACCCTCCATATCATGCATGATGTTAATATGGTGTTCTCACCCTTTACAGTATCTATGTATGTGAGGGACAGGTAACTAGTCCTACAGGTAACTAGTGGTTTCTCATATATATCTACGAGTTTTGTTTTAGCACAGCCAATCTTAAATATTGCAGATAAAATGATTACTTTCTGTCACTCCTATTGTTGAAGCTTTACTTTGGGATCATACTGACTCAAATCTGGAGTTACTGTATGACTCAGACTCTTGTTTTACTTGTTTTATTTACTCATTTATCTTACCATGTGAAGAGAAGCCAAGCGGGAAACAGAGAGGCTGTGATCCTGCTTTAATGTCCCATCCAGACCACATGCTGTTTAGGGGAAAAAAGATTGTAAACACCTCTGAATGCGTGTTACTCTGTTATGTTGTTATGTACGGTGACTCCTATATCTTGGCCTCTTTTTGCTACCAACTCACTGTAAATATTAAGAATTTATCATTTGAAGGCAGTTTGGATCCAATTTTTACTTCTCAAATACTTGGTCTCCACTGTAGCATTAAGTGCATGATGAACATCCGTGCTGCTTCTGTCATCTGAGAACCAGTATACATCTGTCTTAATTGTGTTCCAAGATTTCAGAGTTTGGTTTCAGGGTTTTGTGGTCTGTTCATGATGCTTTTTCACGTTTCATCTCCACTGAGTCTCTTTCTTTCAACCCTAAAACAAACGATCACCCAGGAAAATGTCAAGGATCTCTGATCTTGTGTTCTCCTCGCCTTCGATCTCCAACCATCCATGTTTCCATCTTATTGCTCAACGATTTGTATTTTCTCTGGAAATGCTCTCACCTGACTTCTGCCGTTTGGTAACAGTGATGTCCTGGGAATCTTTGAGTCTTAGACTAATGAATTGACCATGGTATCTATTTGTTAAAATCCATATGTGCAAGTCACTCTTGGGCCGACTGAAATTAATAGACGCTTGTGTCCAGATGAATATTTGTTTATTCACTTCTTGCTTTTACAATGATTGAATAATGGAAATCAAAATATAAACTAAATACAAAAGATGCAAAATAAGCAAGCAAGATTTAGACATGTCCTGCAACCTGCGCAAGGTTAAAGACTGTGCTTTTCCAGTCAGCCACACCCCTAGCCTGCAGCACCCTTCCTCTAAGGACAGTGTACATATACTCACGCCATTAATAAATACACACAATACAAAAATATCTAATATATACATTAAGGAATAGGAATACATTGCTCCTACGTCTACATCCTTAGTCTCTTGTTTTGCTAACAAGGCGACTTGACAACTGTCTGCACAAGTGTAAGAGAGGGAGGAGTTTTGGGATTTTCCACAGCTATATTTTATCCACTCATAAACCTCATCAGACACGGTACCAAACCAAATAGCCTTGGCTGGAGTGTGTTAGGGCCTACCTACATTTACGCCAGATTTTTGATCTGGCTAACTGAGATCAATACTGTTTATGTGGCTTACTGCAAATGAATGTAACCAAAGAGTTTTCAGCTTTCTGTGCTGTTGCCTTCCTGTGTTCCTGTGCCTTTGCAACCTCACATTATTTCACTGCGTCTTCTGTGAGTCATTGCACTTTGGTTCTTGTATTGCTTGACAGTAATGGAGGGCTGGTGTGTGTTGCAGACAAAGGAAAGATGAGCTGGAGCAGAGGATGTCGTCTCTGCAAGAGAGCAGGAGGGAACTGATGGTACAGCTGGAGGGACTGATGAAGCTGCTGAAGGTGACACACTATTGTTTTCAGCATGGTGTGTTATTGCCACACACTAGAGGGCAAAGTTTCCCTTTTTCTTCACACCTCCTGTGTTTGTCCTCGCAGTAACAAGCATCACCTTTCCCCCTGCTATTTCCTACTTTATAATTTCCCTGTTTCTAGCTCTGACTGTATCTGACCTCTTCTTTTCAATCCTTTTCCGACTGCCCATGTTGTGGCCCTGTAGGATGAGGAACAACGACAGGCAGTAAGTTTATCCCCCATATGTCTGGAGTGGAGAGTGGTGTAAATGTGGGATTTACCCCTAAATGTCATGCAGAAACTTTCATTGTCAGTATAAGTCAACTTTACAAGCAATGAAGACTTCTTAATTTTTCCAGAGTGGCTTGTCCTCTTTTCAGCGGCAACTAAAACTTTTACTACATTGTGGAGATGATGTCAACTGCAACAAAAATGACAAGTTAGATGTTTCTCAAAGCCATAAATTATGACAATGATGTGTAATAACCTTTTATAAATCCATCTCTTAGGCGCAGGCGGCTGGCTCTTCTCAAGCCTCTCCTTCTCGACCGAGTCCATCAACCGTCCGCGGTGTGGGTGCTGCATCTCCCCAGGGTCACATGTACCCTCATCAAGATTCACTCGCTGGGGTGGGTGGTGACGTACAAGAAGCATTCGCCCAAGGTAAATCTGGAAATTATAGTTGTTATTACAGAAGAAAAACATCTCTAAAATAACTGCTGTTTGTTTTTGTTTTTTTACTTTGCACAAAATCCTTTTCACGTCTTTGAGACACACAGGAGAGATGTTTCTTGTAGGATTTAATCCTTAACTTAGAATGTTTACATATTGTTCCACCATTTTTCTGAGCAGCTCCACAATTTCTCTGTTAAGACTTTTAGCTTTCACATACACTCACTTTATAAGGTACACCTGTTAATTTGCTTGCTAACACAATTAGCCAATCAGCTAATCACATGGCAGCAACTCAACGCATTTAGGCATGTAGACGTGGTCATGACAACCTGCTAAAGTTCAAACTGACCATCAGAATGGGGAAGAAATGAGATTTGGGTGACTTTGAACGTGGCATGGTAGACGGGGTGGTCTGAGTATTTCAGAAACTGCTAATCTCCTGGGATTTACACGCGTAACCATCTCTAGGGTTTACAGAGAATCGTCCGAAAAAGAGAAAATATCCAGTGAGCGGCAGTTGTGTGGACAAAAATGCCTTGTTCATATCAGAGGTCAGAGTAGAATGAGCAGACTGGTTCAAGATGGCAGAAAGGCAACAGTAACTCAAATAACCACTCGTTACAACCAAGGTATGCTGAGTACCATCTCTGAATGCACAACACGTCGAACCTTGACGCAGATGGGCTACAGCGGCAGAAGACCACACCGGGTGCCACTCCTGTCCACTAAGAACAGGAAACTTACAGTTAGCACAGGCTCACCAAAACTGGATAATAGAAGATTGGAAAAACGCTGCCTGGTCTGACATGAGCAGCAAGATACAACGCAAGACATCCTGCCGTGTATCAACGGTTCAGGCTGGCGGCGGTGGTGTAATGGTGTGGGGGATATTTTCTTGGCACAATTTGGGCCCCTTAGTACCAACTGAGCATAATTTGAATGCGACATCCTACCTGAGTATTGTTGCAGACCATGTCCATCCCTTTATGACCACAATGTACCCATCTTCTTATACTACTCCAGCAGGATATTGCACCATGTCACAAATCTTAAATCATCTCAGACTGGTTTCTTAAACATGATAATGAGTTCACTGTACTCCAGTCACCAGATCTCAATCCAATAGAGCACCTATGGGATGTGGTGGAACGGGAGATTTGCATCATGGATGTTCAGCAGTAACTGCGTGATGCTATCATGTCAATATGGACCAATGTCTCTGAGGAATGTTTCCAACACCTTGTTGAAAGTATGCCACAAAGAATTAAGGCAGTTCTGAAGGCAAAAGGGGGTCCAACTCGGGACTACCAAGATGTACCTAATAATGTGTATATGAATTAGTATGTGATATCATGAGTTGAAAAATTGTTCCATATAACTGCTTTTTTAAAAGTATTAGTTGTGTAAGTGATGAATTTAAATCAAATTATACATTTCAGATACAGATAAAATGTCTCTATAACTCTAACCCTGACAAAATTGGTATTTTAACGGTTATCTGTAAAACGATTGTTTTTTTGTAATTACAGCCTTGTTTACCACATGTATTTATCAAATCTCTGCTCAGCTACAAACACAAATGTAAAGTAGTTTCCAGCCAGTGTTTCAGATTAGTTTAACTTTATTAACAGTTCATGGTGCCCTGTAAAATCTTCAGCCAAAAATATAAACCAGTTGACAGGAACAAATAGTACATGATGTAGCCCATTTGTCAAGGAAATGCTGTGTCACAATAAAATATTATGTTTAACAAGAACGTATTCTCCACATCATCAGAAAATTGAAATCAAATTAAGTTTTTATTTATACAGCCCAAAAGCATTAATCACAAATTTGCATCAGAGAGCTTAAAAGATGGTAAAAAAAAAGCTTTGCCCCAGGCAGCTGCTCTAAGCTGCACAGTGTGTTTAATAAATTCTGCTCTGTTCTAGATGTACTCAGGAGAAAATGTCATGTGTAAGAAAGGGGAAAGGAAGCAAGTTAATTTAAAGAAGTAATTAGTTATAATACAGGCAGCATAAAACTTTCATTCATATCTCATAAGATCTCTTTTGTGCAATAATGTTTAAAAACCTAATATGCAATATTCTCTGTTGCAATTCTGCTATTTATTCAGTATTACTGTTCACCATAACAGTTCTTTTAATTATGTAAATATTGTACAGATCCAAACTCATTTATATTTTCTTTGTATTTATATTTTTACTCTGATATTTAGATACTTCTTTATATACCAACTTTCTATTATTATTTCTATTACTTATGCAACTGTGACACAGTATTTCCACTTTGGGATCAATAAAGTCTTTCTGATTCTGATAAAGTGAGAAAGAGTTCAAAACATTTCAAGTCATTAGTTACCACAAACTGTCTAATTAGTGTGAATCTAATCTTTGTACTGAGTATTGTTTTCTTTTTCTCCAGGCCCGAGAAGGAACCTGAGGAACGACCTTCTGGTAGCAGCTGACTCCATCACCAACACTGTGTCCTCACTGGTCAAAGAGCTACACTCTGGTAAAAATGCACACAAATACACCCAATAATATGTCTTTAGAAAGTACTGAACTTTTGGTCTGACACGTTAAACTTTTTACTCTTTTTTGGAGCAGATGATGCTCGGGAGGAAGAGGAGAGATTGCTCAACGGGAAGGACAGAGGTGAGTTAATCTTATCAGGATCTTAAGTAATCTTTTCCACTAAATTATTATCACCTCTGTGCTCTCTATACTTGCTAACAAAACTTCACACCAACATGATAATTTCATCACCACTGACGAAGGTTGCACTGCAACACATTTAAAGCTACTTGCTATTAATATTCTTTAAATGATACCTTTTATAATGTAAAACCAACAGCAAACAATAACATGAATCTCTGTCTCTGTGATGATGAATTTTGTTTTTATCATAAAGCCAGCACCCAGACAGGGGTGAACCTTTTTTAAAAGACAGAGGTGGGCAAAGTTTTTAGATCCTTTAACAGTACCACAATGTAAAATTACTCTTTTGTGAGTAAAAGTCCTGCATTCAAAATTATGCTTGAGAGTACTCATTTAAAATGAGTTCAAAAGTACTCATTTTGCAGATTGGCAATTAGTTTTACTTGCAACTTTATCATTTTTATTAGCGACGTCATGTAAATCCCAGCAGAGCTTTACACAACTCCAACCTGAGTCGGACTGATCAGCGACGTAACTGAAAACACCTGTGTGGGTATGCAGCACCTTTATTCTATATTAGGCATCATATTTTACAAGATGATCAAAGTAGCTACAGTTTTCATTTAAATGTAGTAGAGTAAAAAGTGTTTACCTCTGAAATGTAGTGTAGCAGTGCAAAGTACCATTACTGGAAATGTTCAAGTAAAGTACCTAAAAATTGTACTTAAGTTCAGTATTTTTCTTTTGCACACATAAAAGTGGCTCTGGATAACATCATGAGCTCTTTGCTAAAATTTAAATGCACTCTGCGGCTTTTTCTGCATGTCTTTCTGTGTCTGTGTGACCACATGCACAGTCTGTATACGACTCCACTAATTCTCCAGGTGCTCTCGTCTGTACTGCAGCAAGCTTCATTGCCGTACCATCTCATTAGAAATGCTTTATGGAGCCTCTCTTTACAAGAGGACCGCCTGCAGAGACAAAGTGGTGAAACTACTTCCTGGTCTGCTCCGCTGGCTCAGACTAAAAAGTTTTTAGAAAACTAACCTGCAGTACTAACCCACCGACCCTGAACACCCAGACAGACAGGAGGCCAGGGTTCAGCCCCATATTCAACAGAGTTAAGTTTAAAGATAAAATACTGCGTTTAATTGTCCACAATAGAGTTTGTTCTCTGGAGTTAGTCAATTTGTGTAACACCTGCAAAGTACAGTCATGTTTTATGTTTCTATACTAACAACTTGTCTGGTTCTTATTACAGTTTCTGGCAGAAACCTGCAGCACTTGTTTTAGCTTCAGATTGCACTGCTGACAAAACTTTCTTTCTCTCACTAGCAGGTTAAAAATGGTCGCAGGACAAACAAAAACAGTAAGTGATTCAATTATCTCCGCCCTTTTTTAATACATGATAATGAAAAGTCAGTTTCTTGTAAAGTACAGCAGTTAGGTAAGACTAGTCCGAAGTGCATTAGATTCCAACCATTCAGAGGTCATTCATTCAAGTCAGCAAATGTTTGTTAGAAAGGCTATTAGAAATGTTTCTGACTTAGAACAAAAAGGCTGCTGCATTCATGTTTTATGGTAAAAGTAACAACTTGTTGATGAGGGTTGAACTTTTTTTCACAGGCTTCCCAGCAGCCTGTCTTTGTTTTCTTCTGATCAGCTTTTGAAGCAATTTGTGATATAATTTGTTTTATATATATATATTTTTCATTCTAGTGGTGTTTACCTTTTGAAAACGAAAGCAGATTTTCAGAAATATGCTCCAGGATTTAGATGCGAAGATTGATGCCACTTTCATGTCTGTACGGTAAACACAAAGCCGCAGCCGGTTATCTTATCCAAGCTTAAAGTCTGGAAACAGATAGTCTGGCTCTGCCTACCAGCACATCTAAAGCTCAATGATTAACATGTTGTAACTCATTTGTTTAATTTCTACAAAAAACAAAGCATAAACTTGACATGTTGTGGTTTTGTGGAAGGTTATTATGAAGACTGTTTCTTGTTAACTTCATGTAGTCTTTTTGTCATTAGGATTAGGATTAAACAAAAAAGATATTAGGTGTTAATTTTAGAGCTTTAGACGTGCTGGTAGAGCCAGGCTAGCACTTACCCTGTGTTTCCTGTCTTTATGCTAAAATAAGCTAACAGCCTGCTGGCTTCAGCTTCATATTACCGCACAGACACGAAAGTATCGTCAATCTTTTCATCTAACTCTCGACAAGAAAAAAAATAAGTGTAATCCCCAAAATGTCAAACTATTCCTTTAATCCCATATGACAGAATATAAAAGAAAATTAACTTTTGATTAGTTGCCTGACTGTTCTGTCCCTCTCTCCTCAGGCAGAGTGGTGTTTCATCACGGCCAAAGATGACTGACCCGTCTTCGATATTCACCAATAGCCAATGGGGATTAGAACTCCACTGCTAATCAACCAATCACAATGCTGGACACCAAATGGCCGCTGGGTTCCTACTGATGTATAGCTGTGATTCTGTGTGTGTCTTGTCACTGTGGTTTTACTTAAGTTCTGATCGTGCATAGCTAAACGAGGAATCTGAAACCTACTGATTTGTACTGTAGCGCTGGCGTGTGTGTGTGTGTGTGTGTGTGTGTGCGCTCTGCATTGTCAAGGTGCGAGAGGGTCGAGTAAGTGAGAGGGACACGAAAGATAGAAAAGAGACGAAAAAAGATGGGTTTTAGCAAATTTGTATAGGATTAAAGTTTAAGGATGGAGATACAGGTTGTATGGAGGAGAAAAGTGGATGAAAAACGAAATGAAAAGAAAGTTAAACAGATGAGAAGTGAGATGTAACGTTATAAGTTTCGGCACTGTGTGCTTCGTATTTATTGCTTTTGATTTTTGCCATTTATTCATTCAGTTTGAGTGTTTCTGTGTATGTGCATGAGGGTGGTCAGGCCCTGCTGAGATGCTGAGCTTTAATGGATGTTTCCTTCTGTATCAAGCCCTGCCTGCCCCCTGTTGTAGTGATGCAGGGTGGAAAGTTAAAGCCTCGTCCTGCTCCAGGTGTCTGAAACCTGGATGAGATTAGTGTGATGGGTGCTGGTGTGATAGCAGCTCAGGTTGTCCAGGAATATATGTGTATATCTGTACTGCAGTGAGACTCCAGTCAAAGAGGGAGATACCTGATTAATGTTGTGAATATGTGTTCGTGTTTGTGTGACAGAGAGGGAGAATATAAAGTGTCAGTGTAGGAACAGAGCAGCAAAGTGGGCTCTAAAAGTATTTATCCCCAACAATGTTCTTTTAAAGAGTCAGTTTACCCAAAATACAATTTTTTTTTTTTATAGCTTAGTATCCCATGATAAAGCTGAGGGTTCACAAGTTTATTGAAGTAATAACGAAGGAAAATCATTCTTTTATAGTGAATTTATTTTCTTACTTTCACCTCTTCAGGACTCAAAAAATCCTGAAGAGGTGTCCACATAAATTTTTTGTGTAGCAAATAATTTATTGCATTTCGATAGAAGAACACACTTTTAGTTCCAGTAAACATATTTGAAGTGCTTCATTTTTAAATGTCACATCTCAGAAAGCTGTGGTGGTGTCAAGTAGGGCTAAAAGATTTAGAAAAAATATCTAATTGCCATTATTTTTGACTGATTGATCATTGTAAGATCATTGTTCTCATTTTCATTGAAAAACATAATAAAATTAATTATAAAGATGTTTTCTTAAGTTAGTAGAAAGCCAGGACTTCTCTGCAGCATGATGATATTTAATTTGAAAAAAATGGTATTGTGACACACATTTACCCTTTAACAAATACTGCCTCCTGCGATTTGAAAATTGCAGTAGGCCATATTGTGATTTTGATAAAATTTTAATTAACTGTTCAGCCCTAGTATCAAGCCATGCAGATAGTTTAGGCTTGATTTTTCCATGTTTGGAGATATTTTCCTCCACCCTTGTACAATATAGCAATAAATCATAACAGAAACATGAAATTTATAATCAACGCATAAATAAATAAAACACAGTGAACACTTCTAGCTGGAACTTCTTTTTTGAAGACGTACCGTAGTGTTTAAGAAATCTGTTCCTTTTTTGATAACCTCGGTGTTCTTCAACGGTAATTTAACAACATAAATTATGGTAGGCTGTTAAAGAGTAAGTTATCGATCTTGCAAGCGGAATGTCTCTTATTACTACATTACCCATGAGCCTCTGCATCTAGTGCTATGGAGGGGATTCAACCAGTTTAATGTTCCAACTGCCAAAAATTAATGGGCTTTTACTTTCTAAACACTGCCTGCCTAAAATAACCCCTCTCACTTTGCTACTCTTTGGTGTCTTCCAAGCTTCCTGTAAAATACAGGGGATTATGGGAGTTTGAGTTCTCTGTGTCACACCCAGCACCCAAAAATGTATCAGACTGATAATATCTGTATGCAAATCACACATCAGTGACTAACTGTATCAGGTCAGGTTGATTTATTTTTACAGATGTAAGATAATTTTATTAAAAACATGTTTTTCAACAGCATTTCAGGGTTTTGGTTTGTGTTCACAGGAATCTGTACTTAACTGTATTGTACATTTTTGGATCAGTTTTCAGTTGAACAGTTTGTCTTTTCTTTCAGACTTTGCCAGCCCTCCACATTGTTTGACTGACAGCTTGCGACTGGTATTCTCAGTCCGCTGAATGATTGGACTGACTGTATGACTGATTTAATAAATGAATGAGCGCATGTTTCAGTGTGTGTGTGGAAGAGAGAGTGAAAAGACTGACAGGACAAACGTGTCCTGACATGAAACTGTAAACACCATCAGCTCTAAAACTGCTGGAGCTGACAGTGTGCGTGAAAACTATTGATCTGTGTTTCATCTGCAATAAATAATATTTAACGTCAATCTGAGTTTTGTCTAACTCTGTGACTGTTGGTCTTAATCTCTAGTACACAAAAGTTTGGGCAGCAACATAAAACCAACAGTTTGTGATGTATAATTCAATAACTTTTAAATGATTTTCCACTACTATATGAAAGCTCCTCCATGACCTCAACATTTTGCTCCCTCCTGGCTTGTTTATTTTCCTGAAAAGTCTGCTTTGCACTAGTTTGGCAAAACAGTATGTGATGTAATAAATCTGTGAAACAAGTTGGAAAGTACTGCTTTATTCATGGAAAGTGACCCATTAGTATAATTCTTTGTCTTCTCACGTCTAGAATACAGTTTTTCCAAATCCCATGGTATTGCCGCAACTCCAAAACTATTGTAAACTGAAAGATAAACGTGGGGCAAGAGTAAACTACAAAATAAGAGCATGATTTAACAGAGGATGTTTGATTGAAATGATCTACATGATAAATGCTAAATTATTGTGTTAATAAATATAAATAATTTTATTGATGTTGAGGTGGAGCTAAATTTAACATGAAACTAGAAACTATAGCTGTTAAATACTTTTAATTTGGAGTAAAAAGTTGTCTACAATATTTTTCTCTGAAATGTAGTGGAGTAAAAGTATAAAACTGAGTACAGCACTTTAGTTAAAGTACGTAGTTACATTTCACCACAGCAAAAATCACAGTTGGGGAATATTACTGATGTATTAACATGTAAACAGCATTTTATTGTTAAGTTGGAGCTACTTTTAACAACTTAATATACTTTTCGGTATTTTTATCTGTAACGCATTATATTTTAACAACTGATTGTTGTGTGTTTTATATGTATGTAGTAACTAGTAACATTAGCTGTGAAATCAATGCAGTGGAGTGAAACGTACAATATTTCCCCCTGAGATGTAGTGGTGTAGAAGTATAAAACAGCATAAAATGGAAATACCTAAGTAAAGTACCTGAAAGTTGAACTTAAGTCACTGTAGCCTACAAAATTCAACCATTTTCGGAATGATAGGACTGATCTGGGGAGAGACGCTTGTTTTTTTAAAAATATATCTTAATGTGAGCCAGTGTTTTAACCCAATTTCTATAAATAAACACCCCAGCATAGACTTTATAAATACACTCAATCTTTTCTCCTGATTGTAAGACTTTTTTTTACTTTCTCCCAGATTTAGTGTCCTCATTAGTATGGATGAGCAGTTCTCACTTTTCCCATGAGCTTCTCTTCAGAGGTCACGACTGTGTGTGTGTGTGTTGTATTTGTGTGTTTGTGAGAGTGTGTATGCAAGGTGGGGGTGTAAACTATAGACTGAATACAGCTCATTGAGGTCTGCCTGTTGTTGGTGACCTCACTGACTGCTATAAATAACCCACCCACCTATACTAACTCACACAGACACACAACACCCAGTGCAGTTATGACCCTGTTTAGTAGAGGCGTAAACACTTTCCCTTTGTCAGAGGTCAAACCGAGTTTAACCTTCACTTCAGGAGCACCAACTGGGAAAAAAAATCAACCAATCATAATGCAATAAAATACAATTTGATCAGATGAAGTAACATTAGTCGGCAATGATTTCAGTAATAAACCGTGGAAAAATTCTAAATATCTGCTAGTTCAAGCTTATTAAATGTGAGAATGTGTAGCATTTCTTTCTTTTATATAATTGTCAGTGGGATATTTTTGTATTCTTATAGTTACACTTGAAGTGCTTGGTCAACTAGTTATTATATTTCCTTTTAATGTAATACCCTCTTATTTTATTTGCTTTTATTGAGTTTTATGTTCATCCTTTTTATTCTGTTGCTTATCTATTTTTATATTCATGCTTTTATTTTTTACTCATCTGTTTTTATATTCAGACCTTTATTTTTACATTTATGCTTTTGTTTCTTTTATTGTTGTACATGTTATACTCTCCTGGCTCAAATTTCAATTTAGGATTAGTCTTGTCATGCAACTATATCCTTTTGTTTTTTTATTTAAAAGCACATTGAATCTACACTTGTTGTACGACATGTGCTATATCAATAAACTTGACTTGATTATTTTTTGGTTTTGGCCAACAAAACAAGCAATTTGAAGACATCAAGTTGGGCGTTTTTCACTATTTAATGACATTTTATGGACTAAACGTTGATTGAAAGAGAGAAACTGACAGCACTGTGTCATCCATCTTTCTATCTCTAGATGTTGGTGAGAAAGAAGTTATACATTTCCACATGTTTTACACTGAATCCACATTTTAGTACTAGGTAAAGGAAAATACTGCTCATGAATCCTCATACTGTTGTGAATACTGTAATGTACAGTGCAAAGTAGTGCAGGAGTTACTTTGTCAATTAGTCTTTAAGATTGTCCCACTCAGTCCACATTTGCTGCTTTTCCTATCTTTCCTAGAATACCGTGCATACACAAAGTTAGAGAGCAGGTTTCAACTTGTTGCAGCAGGCTTCAACTTCACCTGCTGAGGAACCTGAGGAGAAATGAGTTGGATTAGAAGAAAGGAACCCGCCAGACAAGACAACGGGTAACTGTGTTGCATTCACTTGTGGGTTGTAGGTGGAGGCAGGTAGCCAAGAGAAAACATGATAAAAAGATAAACCTGAGATGGTTACAAAGATAGGAAATAAGAAAAACAGTATATTTGCTACACCAATGATGTTACTTTTATCTGACTTTTATCAAATCCTATCTGTCATTGTTAAATTTTAAACATTTCTAGGCCTCTAAAAACTACTCCATTAAGAAAAATCTAAGAAGGGAACATCGGTCAGATTGAAAAGTTGTACCTATTGCTGCTTTTGTGATCTGATGTTGTACTTGTAAAAGAGGTTTTAGTCTCTTCCTAGTTAAATAAAGATATGCAAAAGTTTTAGGTGTGGAAAAAATGCAATGTAAAGGAAGAATGCTTTCAAAAAATAGACATGTTAATAGATTGTATTTATCAATTAACAAAATGCAAAGTAAGTGAACAGAACAAAAATCTAAATCAAATCACTATTTGGCGTGACCACCCTTTGCCTTCAAAACAGCATCAATTCCTCTAGGTACCCGTGCACAACGTTTTTGAAGGAACTCGGCAGGTGGGTTGGCTCAAACATCTTGGAGAACTACCCACAGTTCTTCTGTGGATTTATGCAGCCTCAGTTGCTTCTCTCTCTTCATGTAATGTCATGTTGAGATCGGGGGTCTGTGGGGGCCATACCATCACTTCCAGGACTCTTTGTTCTTCTTTAAGCTAATCAGATGCCTCCCTGATGGTTCTGTGTGATTAATAAGTATCTGCCTGTACTTCTCAGCATTGATAAGACCATTAATTCTGACCAAATCCCCAACTCCGTTTGCAGAAATGCAGCCCCAAATTTGCAAGTGGCCTCCGTGCTTCACTGTTGCCTACAGACACTCGGTCTTGTATCGCTCTCCAGCCCTTTGGGGAACAAACTGCCTTCTGCTACCACCAAATGTTTAAAGTTTTGACTCATAAGTCCAAAGTTTGGTACTTTTCATGTTGGAGGTTTGGCTTGTCGGTCGCAAGTCTTCCATGACGGCCACTTCTGACCAGACGTCTCCGGACAGTAGATAGGATCCCACTGTTTTCTGCCAGTTCTGAGCTGATAGCACTGCTGGACATCTGATTGCGAAGGGACATAAGCATGATGTGTCTTTCATCTGCTGCAGTAAGCTTCCTTGGTCCTCAATGTTGCCTCTCTGGAGATTTCAGAGCGAGAATTGTCCTTGAGCGAGACTTCTGTTTCTTGTTAAAAACAAACCACCGGCTGTGACTCGTAGGGATCCTTTCCATGATGTTGTCAGACACTTTGTATAATAGTCTGAGCCTGTCGGTGGCAAAAAGAGGAACTTTTTGTGGACGTAATGTTGACGTAGGATGCATTTCCCACAAAGGAACACGTTACAGTCGATGCAGGTGGTTCACAGCTGCCGGCTGAAGTCATCCACTGCACTGTTTCTAAAACCTTTTGTACCTACTGGTCAATATGTGAAAATAGGGCCCAGGTTTAAAAATACCGACAATGATCCTTTAAATCCCACATTTGTGTAGCTTGTCATTCACTCTCCGGTCAGGCTCTTGAAAGCTGGTTGAAATAATTTTCTCCGGCAGTTATCATTTTCCAGACTGTCCTCGTCATCTGTGACAACAGCAGTTCTTGTCTGCTTGACAGATGGTTCAGTCTCAGGTTTGTTTTCTGCAGTAAAGACTCATTGGATTTATTCCCTCTGTGGCATTGTGACATAAACCAGGATTCCATAGCACTTTTTTAGGGCTAAAAGACACACTTTAAAATTCTAGTGTTTAATATTTAGGAGGATATATTGCCAGAAATGCAATATAATGTACATCCCTATGTTTTCAGTGGTGTATAAAGACCTTACATACATTTTATTACTGTAGAATGAGCCATTTCTATCTACATACACCGCGGTTCGTCACTAAGACGTACAAAGAAGAAGTATTAGTAGTAGTTGTCGTCTGGTTTGTTAGAAGTAAGACAAATGGAGGACCACACGTATTATTTAGCGCAAAAGCGGCCACCGTAGCTTCTCCTGCGCACTTGAAAAGGGAGGGGTGAGCCGTGACTGAGCCTCACCACTGGACTGTCAAAAAGAAGTGGATGTAGTCATCGTGATATCCCCGGTTGGTTTGTGGAGTGCCATTTTGAAGCCTTGAGTTTGACATTTTGCCTGTCGACACTGATTTTTTGCAACCAGCAGCACCGGACGTCTCCACAAGAGAGTGGAGCTAGCTAGCTTGGTTTGCAAGGTGCATTTGTAGGGATGCTATCTTTTGGCTAGCTAAAAACAGGCTTAAAAGAAAACATACTTACCAGTGAAAATGAAGACGACTCCTAATAAGCTCTTTCAACGCTGCTGGTTAAATGTTCACACAGCACTGGATCCGCCACTTTAAGAATCCTCAATACAACTCTACGCACATAACGTCAAAGATTCTATACATGTCGTTTTTATATCCCAGTGACCAG